TATGTTACTCAGGTTGGTCTTGAACTCCTGACCTTAAGCAATCCTCCCTCCTCAGACTCACAAAGTGGTAGGAGCATAGGCATGAGCCACCACACCCAGCCAGGAATGAAGTATTTTTATTTTTTTGAGATAAGAGTCTCACTTGGTCTCCTGGGCTAGAGTGCCAAGGCATCAGCCTAGCTCATGGCAACCTCAAACTCCCGGCTTTTTTTTTTTTTCGAGACAAAGTCTCACTCTGTTGCCCTTGGTAGAGTACTGTGGTGTCATAGCTCACAGCAACCTCAAACTGATGGGCTTAAGCAATTCTCTTGCCTTAGCCTCCTTAGTAGCTAGGACTATTACAGACACCTGCCACAAAGCCTGGCTATTGCTAGTAGAGACAGGTCTTGTTCTTGCTCAGGCTGGTTGTGAACTCTTGATCTCAAGCAATCCACCTTCCTCAGACTCCCAGAGGGCTAGGATTATAAGCGTGAACCACAATACCTGGCCAACCTTAAACTTCTGGGTTTAAGCAATCCTCCTGCCTCAGCCTCTGGAGTACATGGGACTATAGGAGCCCACCATAACGCCCAGCTAATTTTTCTACTTTTGTAGAGATGGAGGTCTCATTCTCGCTCAGGCTGGTCCTAAACTCAGGAGCTCAAGGGATCCTCCTGTCTCAGTCTCCCAGAGGGCTAGGATTATTGGTGTGAGACACCATGCCTGGGCAATAAAGTATTTTCTAATGAGAAGCAAGTACAAAAAACTAGAAATTCCTTTATTTTTATTTAACCTTTTTTTTTTTAGCTTGGCATCAGCAATTCATAAACTTTTTTTTAAGAAATAGTTTCTTGCTCTGTTACCCAGGCTGGAATGTAGTAGCCCAATCATAGGTCACTGTAGCCTTGAACTCCTGGGCTCAACCTATCCTCCTGCTTTAGCCTCTCTCAGCCTCCTGAGACTAAAGGCTCTTGCCAGGAAGCCTTGTCTAGGAAATTTAAAGTTATACTAGATTCTAGGTATCTGTAACTTTTCAGAGTAAAAATCAAGTTTTACTTAGACAAAAATCTAAGTATTTATGAATATTAATTTGAATGACTAACAGCACTACTGCATAAAGTTCATTGTATATAAGAAACTCAGTCTCTGAGAAGTTTACTTCAGGGAACTAGAAATGGCATTAGCATTATTAGGTACCCATACATTAACATGAAAATAAAAGTAATACAGTGGCGCCTGTAGGTCAGTGGGTAGGGCGCCGGCCAGGTACACCAAGGAAGGCGGGTTAGAACCCAGCCTGGGTCTGCTGAACAACAATTGCAACAACAAAAATAATAGCC